TATTGTTGAAAGTAATATGCATTATTTTGAGTTTCATCCTATGGGATGTGTATTTATATTTAAACAAGTGTTTGTAACAACTAACTATTAGTTTTATTCTGCTCGGTATTATAAGTTATATAGGAGATATTATACTCAACTTATTTTAAAAGTATTATTTCAAATCATTCTCTCTTAGACATTTTCCTCACATAAAATTACTCACAACTTTAAAATAAATGCTCCTTATCAGCTTGTAATTTGTTCTATTCGATTGAGTGTAAAAAAAGAATAAAAATTGGTACATAACTTTAAAATTTTAATTTATTAAACGATTGTAGATTCTTGATTACATTGATTAAAAATTATTAAAATAACTATTTTTTAAGAAACTCTGATGTGATTGACAATAACATAAGTCCTTTTCAGAATCAGCGTCAAAAATTTAAAAAAAAGCTGCTAGTTTCATGAAGTCTGACAAAAAGTTGAAAAATATAGACTAGGTTTATTGAGTTTAAAGATTTTTAAAAAAGAAAGGGAAGGAAATCTAATTATTAAACTTACAAGTACCATAATGTTACAGATGTATAGAAAAATAAAAAGTGTTAAAATTGCATAATAAGATTGGAATTATACAGGGTGTTTATAAAGTCCCGGACCCATTTTGATGTTTAATAACTCATAAAATAATAAAGATAGATTAAAATTAATAACATTAATGGTTAGATAGACTCAAAAAGTTTCATGACCCTTGTCAATGAACTTCCACGTGTGCCCCCTTCGTCGCACGGAGAATATCAAGTCGATAGTCAATTTCACGAGAGGTAGCTTTCTTTTTTACAGAAAAGACAATCTCATCAGTCGTATACTTAGACATGTTGGAAAACTTCGTATTTCCACAACTAGAAGAGCTTCAGCCACATGTCTTTTTGCAACAAGATGGTGCACCACCTCATTGGGGTATCATCGTTCGTAGTTCTTTGAATGACCATTTTACAGGAAGATGGATTGGGCGAGGAGGTCCAATTCCTTGGCCACCCAGATCACCTGATATAACGCCGCTGGACTTTTTTCTTTGGGGATTTATAAAGGACAATGTTTACAGGAGGATCGTGTCGAACATTGATGGCCTAAAAGCCAGAATTACAACCGCAATAGCCTCTGTGGATGCCGACATGCTTGCCGCTACCTGGCGTGAAATTGACTATCGACTTGATATTCTCCGTGCGACGAAGGGGGCACACGTGGAAGTTCATTGACAAGGTTCATGAAAGTTTTTGAGTCTATCTAACCATTTATGTTATTAATTTTAATCTATCTTTATTATTTTATGAGTTATTAAACATCAAAATGGGTCCGAGACTTTATAAACACCCTGTATATTTGAATTTCTGTAAATGTTGTTAATGGTAATACTGTCTTCAGTGTATTTTATTTTGTGGCTGTGATACATGTCATGCTTTTTAGCTACGAGGATTGAATAGAAATGGCAGAAGATATTTATCTGAAAAGGAAAATTAATTTCATCCAGTTAATTTAAATGATAAAAAAAATACTTTCTAATATTTTAAGACCTGCCACTATTATTGTAAATATGACTTTCTTACTAATTTATATTTTTTTTCCTTTTAGGTTCCAATAATTACAAGTTTCAACATGTAGACGGAAACAGTATTTAAAATAATTTTGTTGGTTTGTAAAAAAAGTGAAATTTTAGTTTTAAATAAAAGTACTTTGAATTTCAGCTGACTAATTATTTAAATTTGTAGTTTTATAGCTTTAAAAATTCAAGCACCTTAGACAACTATCTTCTAAAAATACGAGTATGAGTTCCCATAAATAATTTTTACTAACTGTAGAATTTGGATAAGTGTTATTTTAAGATGATTTAAATCAATCTATTAAAATTATAGAAGAATTATGCATTTGAAACTTTCTTTTATAGCTTAACAAAAGAAGCAATTACTGCCGAAGGTTTAATATTAAAAATTTCAGGTTGATAAATGATCTCTACTAGTGAAAAAAATGTAATGTACATTATTCTTCATATAATATATATAATATCTTTATATATATATTATATTTTTTATATAGTGAGTCTAAAAATTAATAAACTAGGTGGTCCGTATAACACCTCACCTTCGTAAGTGCTAAAAAAAACATCTTTGGTTGATAAATTAATACTTCTAAAAATACAAAAATATATACTTGAGGTTACGAAATAATAACTTAAGGTAGAACATGGAACACATGGCGCTAATTAAAAATAACCTTTCCAATTGTTGAAAATACACTTCAGGTTGATTTATAACAACCAGAAGTGTAAAATGGCCCACCTTAGGTTGAAAAATATATACCTCTACAAGCATAAAATTATATACCTGAGGTTGAAGAATAATTACCTGAGGTAGAACAAAATACATTTGAGGTTGATTTATAACAACCAGAAGTGTAAAACGACACACCACAGGTTGATAAATATATACCTCTACAAGCATAAAATTATATACCTGAGGTTGAAAAACAATTACCTGATGTCGAACAAAATACACCTGAGGTAGATTTATAATAAGCTGAAGTGTAAAATGACACACCATAGGTTGAAAAATATCTACCTCTACAAGCATAAAATTAGATACCTGAGGTTGAAAAATAATTACCTGAAGTCGAACAAAATACACCTGAGGTTGATTTATAATAACCTGAAGTGTAAAATGACACACCTTAGGTTGTTGAATAAATACTTCCACAAGTGTAAAAAAATATACTTCAGGCTGAAACATATATACCTCTGGAGGTATATTTAAGGTATATTTGAGGTTGATTTTGAGGTATTCATTTGCACCCTTTTCAATCTTTACGACGTATTTAAACAACAACCTCCTTTATACCTTTAAAATATACCTCGTTTATACCTCATTTATACCTCGATTTTTTCATAAGGGTATAATCTGTGTCAAGACAATTTCATATTAAGTTAGCGATATGAAGCCAAATATAGATGGAATGACATTTCATTGGAAATATCTCTCTTTTCTTTTGTTAAGATCATAATTGTCGCCATCCTAAGAAAATTCTTCTTAACAAAGTTGCTTAAAATTATCTTCTGTAAAGATTTTTAGTAAATGTGACGTTTAAGAAAGAGAAGAATAAAAAACAAAGGTTTAAAAAAATAAAGGATGATGAAAAATTAGAATATCTGTAATAGAATTTTTTAACGTAATTTTTAAATTAGAAATTCTACTATATAACATATTACATACATTCCCTATATTACAAAGTTAAATGATGTCATATTAATATTCAGAATTAATACTTTTATAAATACATTTATATTATGAACAATTATTAGCCTTGATCAAATTTATTCTTAATATAAGAAGTAAACGTAAATTTAATTTATAATGAAATATTCGATCACGATTGCATTTATTTAATAATTTTTATTTTATATTTTATATCCGTCGCTGGACAGTCTGTCCAACTTTTGGGTTTACGACTACTAATGTTCTACTCCGTAAACTTGTAATTTTGAACCAATCCAGAAGACAAGGAAACTCCTGGATCAGTACCCCCAGAGGTATTGATTTGTTATGGGAGAATGGAGAACCTTGAGACTTGACAGATTTAACTCGCATCAGTCACCATTTACGACACGGGGAGTTTTCGGCAGACGGGGATCGAACCCACGAACTCTTGGACATGGCCCAACCTTCTACCGACCAGGCTATCCCGACCATTTATTTAATAATTGTACTGATCTCTCTCTTTCTGTTACTACAGATACAATAAGCTATTAATGTTTATCAATATAGTATTTTGCCAAATTATAGCAGAAGCCAAAGTTTTTAACACACGTTAAAAAAAAATCGCATTCACAAAGATTTGTTTTTAAATTGTTAATTAAGTTACATCACAGATAAATATTTATACTTTAGGTATTCATTAGATGTAATTTATATTATATTTTATGAAAATCAACACGATTTTTACAGAAATTCAAATGATGAAGCCTTTTAAATTACAAAATTTCCTTCATTCACTGAGATTATGTAGTAAACGATTGTTGTATTCTCGCCATGCAGGGGGATTTCCAGAAAATACTGTCTTAGAATGCGATTTCTATTACGTTAGTTTAAAGCTTTCAGAGGTTTGAGGGACCGATCATAAATAACAAGCAGAAAATAATGTTTTTGAACACCCTATGCCAAAAATGTAGCAAAGCAGATTTGTAACTTGTGACAGTTAGTTTGGTTACTGTATGAAATAAATACACATAATTTCGTGAGCCTAGATTTAAATATTTATGGAGATATGGACATTCTTTCATAGTGCGCATTCGTATTAAATTTTTTTTTTCTGCTTAAGTTTTCCAGCGAATCGTATTTGGCAACTAATAAAAAAAATTCAAATTTTAATGTATTTAACGTTTAAAAAGTTTCAAGCAGTTTTCTAAGTAGTTTTCGTATCTTTTTAAAACATTCTTAAAATAATAAGTTTTTTTTCCTCATACTTCATTTAGTACTATTAAACAACATTTATTAAAAAGGACACAAAAGGCATTGTTGGGAATCATCAAAAGTAACTTTTTTTCTCCTGTTTCCTTTATTAAATCACATTTTGGTGTATAAACGTTCATTGTTATAAATTGTTATTAAATTCTGCGATATGATACAAAATAATATTTGTAGAGGTCCCCTTATAATTTAAAGCTTTGTTAAGGGAAAAAAAACGAAAACTACTTTGAGAAATGCTTGAAATTTTAAAAATTTTTAAGATATTCAAATCAAACTTTTTTTTTCTCATCAGTTGTCAAATACAATAGACTACAAAATTTTTCCCGCTCATGCGCAGTTTAAAAGACTTACTTTACAAACTTTTGTGTAATAATTGAATGTAAAAACCAAAGTAGTTTTAAATGAAAAAATACGAACATTTTTCCATTTAAAACTAATTAAATTCATAAATAAAATTAATCAGGATTCATGTTAATTATAATATTTTCTATAATTTCTTTTCAGATTGCTAATATTATATATGATAGTGCGAAAAATGGGAAGTTATGCAATCTGATGACAAATGAAGTGAACATGAAGTATTACGTAAATGTATGTATATTTAGATCAATGAGTAAGATTAATGTGTGTGTGTATATATATATATATATATATTGTTTTTTTTTGTTGTTATTTTCAGAAAGCTTATAAATTTGTATGGCTATTTTATATCAGCAAGTACGTTGATCTCCTCGACACA